TCGCCACCCCCGCTGCAGTCCCCGAGGGTCACCTTCCCAAGCCAGGGCTGCAGCTGAGCCCTCCTGCAGGCCCTGGAACAGTGGTCGTGGGCACCCGGGCGTCTCAGCTTGCCGCCTGGCGGGAGATACCTGTCCACAGGGTGGAGGAGCCCGACCCCAGAGCCAGCCACAGCCATGCAGAAGACTTGGGCCCGTCCTGGCTCTCTTGCCACACTGGCCCTGGCTAGTGCCTCCCCCTTGGACGAGCTGCCGGGAGCCCTCGCAGGCCTCCCGCGGGGCCAGCCAGTCCCAGGGGCCTGCCGCTGCACAGTGCACGGCCCAGCCGGTCTCTCCACCCTAGCATGAGGGTGGCATGTGTTCCCTGTGGCCCTGACCCGGTCTGTCCACACTCACCAGAGCTCCCTGGAAAGAGGCAGCCCTCTCGGGCAGGCTGGGGCCCAGCTGCACCCACTGGGGCCTGTTCCCCGGCTGTTCACAGGTCAGGGAACATGGACTCCGGGATGCCAGAGGCAGAAGGCCCCTTAGGCTTGCTGTCCAGCCCTCCGGGCTCTGGATGGGCCCTTAGGTGCCTCCCCTGCACCCCGCCATGCTTTGGCTCTGAGTTCAGCTGAGAAGGCCCAGAGCTTTCCAAGGAAACTCACCAGGAACCCGAGGAGAAACTGAGCCAAACCCAATTAGTCAGATTTGAAAGTAGGGAGGAATAAGCCCCTGCGGCAGCTCCCTGTCGCTAACCGTGTGGAAACCCCCAACGATCACCTGTTTGTCAAAGCAAGCGCCACTGAGGCCCGGCCCTTCCTACTGCAGAGCTCCCGCTCAGTCCTCCAGCGCCTGCAGCCCACCCCACCTGCCCCTGCTGTCGCCCTGTAGGGAGCAAGCAGCCAGCAGGCACCAGCTCCCCCAGCAGGTGTCGCCACCACCACCACCTCCTGCAGCGGCTCCGGGCGGCTCGAGGCCATTCTTCCCTCTCTGGGAAAACTACGACCGCCCAGCTCCTAACCACGGCAGGGGGCACACAGTGCTCTCACTGTCCTGTGTGCGGCGGGGTGAGGGGGCTCTGGTTTTAAAAGGAAGCTTCTTCTCCTTTGGGGTCACCAGGGCTGCAGCCCGCCCCCTGCAGCAGGTGCCAGTGCTCGAGTGGGCGGGCACCAGGCTGGTCCCAAGGCCTCACCCAGACCCCTGGACCTTTGCCGGCCCTGAGCAGGTCGCAGACAGGCAGCAAGCGGTCAGACGCGATGGTGGGGCTGCCAGGCGGCCGCCCGGGCAGAAGGAAGCGAGGCTGGGAGGAGCCGGAGGGTGGGGGCCTGCAAGGATTCGCCCCAGTCTTCCACAGCCAGGGCCCCGAACAAGGCACTGGAGTCTCAGGACCTCCAAGGAACATGGGGCTGGGGACTCGTGGCAGCATCTTCTTGTCCCAACGATGAGTCTTAGGCCCCCGGGAAGCCTCCAAAGGGCCAGGGCTGCTGGAGGGCACCCCCAGCCTGCCCTCCCACCCCTGCTCTGCTGAGGCACGGCTGACACAGCAGGGAGCAGGCGGGCTGGCCCTGGCACTGGGAGGGGACCAGCTCTCCAGGGCTGACCTCAGAGAGGAAGCAGGGATGGGGAAAAGGCCTCTGTTCCTGGGGACTCGGCCAGGGGAGCCATGGCCCTGAAGCCTGGCAGGCCGTGGGGAAGCCGCTTCAGGCCTGAGGACGCCCGCTGAGCGGTCGCCATGTGCATCCTCATGCTCCTAGGCGGGGGACCCAAGGGGGCAGTGCCAGGGTGGTTTTCGGAGAGCAGTAGGGACCATGGGCACTGCTCTGCTCGACGGCACGTCCCCTGTGCTGCCAGAGAGCTCAACAGTGGCCGCCTCGCCGCTCACCTCAGCACCCTTGCCTCTGTCTGCCTGCCTCGCTGTCCTCCCTGCCCTCCCGCCTGCTCTTCCACCGTGTCTTCCCGTCTTCGCAGTCCCAACTAGAGCTGACCTGGTGGACTCCGCCAGTGCCTGCCAGGCCCCACCAAGGCGTTTCCCAGAAGGGG